TTGCGGCTGTGCTAAACACTCCTAGAACCAAAATGCGGTGATAGGATGAAAGTCCAGATGGAAGCTCTCCTCTTAAATATCCTTCTGCTTCATCAATTGTGGACAGCTTCAGAGGGCAGGAAACTTGGCTCCTACAGAAAGGCAAGGAAACAACACGGGCCACCTTGTTCTTCACTTTTGGGACAGGAGACAAAAGGGCAACCTAAATCCTCGTTATGACAACAGCACCCCAATCAAATATGACAACTGTTATGTCTCATTAGGGACAGAATCTGTTCGCCTTCTGGGAAGGAAGGGCAATGCTTAGTCACAGCAATGCACTGGGCCTGGTCATGGGGAGGAGAGAACAGCCCTAAGCCCAACTGGCTGCTCTGAGATCCTATCTGTACACAGAGGATAGTTTGACACCTCTCAGTTAAACTGCAGAGCTCCCTTGGTTTACAGTGAGGGGTTAGCTCTGCCTCCACTAAAATCAAAGATGGCTTTGCCACCAATATCATGAGGTTAGGACCACACTCAATGAGCCTTCTTGGGTTGTTGCCCACATTAAAAATAAGAGGGAAGGAATTTCAGGAAAGAGAGAGGGTCAGTGACAGGAGATGGATGTATTGTCCAAGAATAGGTGTTCCCTGACAATGAAAAGCACAGAAAGTTATTAAGCTAATTTCCAAACCAGGTCTAAAATCAGATCTGACCTTATTTTTCCAAAAAGGAATTCCATTTCATGTTCCTCATGTTCCATTCCTACAAAGGCAGTGATGTATCCAGAACATCATCTAGTGGATGTGCCGATCTTATTTTGTAGGGACTCATGAATAGACACTTACAATAAGATGAAACTGGCCAATTCTTCTGTTCCCAACATGCCATTGTATGTCAGTGATTGCCCTCCCTTTTCATAAATCTTGATGGTAGGAAACTGAGTGACGTTCTCCTTTGTGCAAACCCCAGGCCAGTCCCAGCAGTTTACTTGAGAGAGCAAAATCCCCTGAGCTCCTAGAAAGGAAAACAAAATACATATAAATAGCATCAGAGAGGTAGAAAAAAATAAGGACGAAAAGGTTGAAAAAGAGATCTTCTGTGAACTTCCTTGGATACTATTGCATATTTTCATATTATGCTTCCAGAACTCCTATTTGCTTTGGTGAGAGTCCTATAAGGCTGGATCTTAACACACTGTGTGCACATGCAGGCAGCACAGGTGGGCTACCACTGAAAAGTGGCAAGACCACGCCTGGAGCCAAATGCTGCTTTGTGTGAGCAGGATGTCAAAATCTGAGCCTGAATACATGCTCCCTTTGGGTCCAGGCTATCTCCCTCTTGAAGCTGCTCGTGGATATGCCTTACGGTTTTGAGCATAATAATAACTGTTTCCAACTGTTTTTATTAAATACCTCGTCAGGTGTGGAAAGATCCGAACAACAGACTATGGAGAGAGCAAACTCAGGGAAGCGGTAGGTTGCGCTTCTCGGAAGGAAATTCTCAGGGACAAAGACATTCACGACATCTGGACAGTTACGCAAAGGGAGACTAATGAAACCCGTGAGGCAAATATCCAGAAGCATAAAAGGCAGTAAGGAAAAATGTTGGAAATACCTTAGGAATAAGGGCCAGACAAAGAAACCATGCGAGCCCTCACTTACAGGAAAGAGAAGATAAAGCTTGGCACAGAGGAGGCTGATGTATTCAAGGCTTTTTCACTTTAAAAAGCTGCCCAATATTGAAAACCGTCCATTTTCTCTAAAGCACAGAACTAAGTACGCAAAGAGCAGTTAAAAGTCCTGTAGACAAGATAGAAGTAATACAGACGGGCAATCTAACGGCATTCACCCTATTGTACCTACGGAAGCTGCTCATCTCCAAGCCACTAGCAGTAACCTTTAGGACCTTGAGACTGGCGTCTCACAAGTAAAGACAAGGAAAAGGGAGTACTTGAG